GACTCTTTCCATTTGTTAAGGAAGGGCTACCGTGAAATTATTGAAAAGGGTGAAAGCAAAATGTTACTATTACCATGGCAAAAACTGTTCTGCCTGAATGCTAACAAAACACCAAAGTGCTCTACTCCTGAAAGACTTCATCAACCTTGTACGCAAGGAAACACTCCTATGCTCTAACCTCCCCTTAGGTGGAAAACACACTGCATTCTCCTTCGGCCACAACTATCTTGCTATTGTGAAAAGGTCCTGAAGGGCTGAAAAAAAAAAAAGAAAAAAAGAAAAAAAAAAAGAGAAAAAGAAAGAACGAACCCGCAATTTATGTCTGTGATAGGACACTGCAAAAAAACAGCAAGACATCCTATAAATCATGGGGAATAAATTTTACTCGCAAAGACCAAAGGTTCATTTTCAACAGCGGGCACAGAGAAACAACTGGCTCAGTCGTCCAGAAACCTCCTTTTTCCAATGTGTATTTCACTTGCAGCTCTACCCCGTCGAACGCTCAGGGCACGCCTGACTAGCTAATGGTCATTCCATAGACAGCCAAAGTCCCAAACTACGCAGTACTATTGATCCAGAAGTGTTATCAACCTTCAGTAGCAGCATCAGAAAAACCCAAATTACTGTCACCATATTATACCCAAAGATGACCTCCAAAACATCAACAATTTGGTAAGAAAAGTGCCAGTGAAGCCATCCAAGGCCAATGATGGGAAATCTGCCAAATCATCTACTTTTCCACTATTGGAGGACAGCATAGCCGAGCGTTTTAACACAACCATCCACTTTCTTTTGATATTTGTAAAGATTTTTTTCCATAATTTGAAATAGTCTGAATTTAACTTCTGAGTTAAGAGCGGTGAAATGCTGGGCCATGAGGAGAGCGGAGAGACAGCCACTGACTACATAGTAATACTTCAATGCATATTAATATCTCACTTTATCTGATCTCCACAAAATTGTCCATTGATATATTCATCTTGACGTTTCCCACCCTCCATTTCTGCAAAGAGCAGATCAACCAAGTTCATGGTCAATGAGTGGCAGAAAACCCTCTCTCCTGCAAGACGACCAAGTCTAGGGCAGATTGATGCAACAGCAAAATTGCCATTAAGCTGCCACTGCCTGCGGATGATTTACCTCCCGGGATCTGCAGAAACAAGGTGTTCGGGAAGCCTGGGAGAGGGAGCACCGGCGGGCGAGGGTGCTGCCAAGGGCAATACAGGTGCCACAGGCTCCGGTCTAGCACCCGTTGCATTGCATTCACAGCGACAAAAACACAGAAAAAGGGGTTTAATCCACACTGAAACAGTATGCTCAACAAGAAAAAAATGTATATATACACACACACCTGCACACAAGTATTAGTATTGTGGGAAAAAAAAAACACAGATTTTGCAGTGAAGCATAGAGAGGAGGTAAGACGAGATGCAACAGGCTTGAGATCTGCTGTGCTTTTAGCAGAAATTACGTGTACTAAAGCTTGTAAACTCATTAACAGCCAAGCAATGTCTTTACAAAGATGAAACATGTATTTTGGATTATATTATATGGCAGAAACCTAGGAAATACTAGAAAACAATCAGAATCAACTAAGACTTGAGATTAATTCCCTAAGTTTTATATATCTTTTGCTATGATTTCTTTAGGGTATTAGCTTTGTGAGGGTTAGAGTATGTATTCCTTAATATTTTTTCATCTCCTTCAGTTTGTTCAGTTGAAGAAAGAAGAATCAAGAAAACACTGGGCTAAAAGGCCCTCTCCTTGAAGAACACACATCTCACTGCAATGTGCAGAAGCGAAACAGAAGCCACAGAGGATTCACAACCGCCAGTTTTGAGCAGACTGAGCATGCAGGGTAAAGTACATTAATAATGTAAGCAGACTTCAGAGTGCTGCAAATTATCAGACAGATTTAGGAAGGACCACGAGGCCGACCTTGCAGGCAGTAAAGGTGTTGATGGCAATTCTGACCCAGGCGGCACCTCACAAGTCTGGGTGGCCACAGAGGTTTGACTCGGATTAACAGAGGGCTCCTCGGCTCCTGTTCCATTGGGCAGATCTGCAGGTATGCTTTACAAATATTCATGACGTGGGGAGGAAAAGAACAATGTCACATGATTTCTGATAGAGGTTATTTCAGGCCTGATCAAGAGTGGGATAAATATTTTCTGGTGACAACAGATTAGCTAAACTCCAGCTCTGGAAAAAACAGACCAAGCTTCATTCAGGACAATTAGTTGGCTCTACATTTCCAAAACCAAAACAATATTTGGTGGGTCAAAATGGTTAGAAGTGCTCAACATCAGAAACATGCTTGGAAACTGGATACTGTGGAATTATAACTAAATCAATTACTAAAACATGTAAATAAATGTAAAAGCTAGACTTTGCCTTTCCAAGCTTTCAGTAAATTAAGAGGTACAATTTATACACTCTCTTTCAAGGAGGGCTTTCCCTTTCAGTTTGCTGTCCTTCCAAATGCTGAAGAGAAATACCCATTCATCTACAAAAATCCCCAGTAAGTTGCAATTTAGGGCTAAATAAAAATAAAAATCATATGACATTTGTCTTCAACAATGCCTGAAAAGTCGGGATATTCAGAGGTAAATTAGTGATGAAAGAAGTTTCTGGTTTTTAACAGTATGATACCCTGCCTTCTGGATGATCATTTAATTTTAAACTTACATGCTTATATCAAAAAACCCACATTAGAATATTTTTTCAAAGATCAGATGTATATTGGCAATCAGAGAGGAGCAGTTGGGTACTAGGTACGGGGCAGCTATTCACGCAGCAGGAGCAGACTAATGGGAAACAGAGTTTAGGGGCTCCTTCCCTTCATGTTGTTTTTTCAGGATATTATTTGAGATGATACAGTTAGGATACATCCTCTCAGATACATGTGTTAAAAGTGAATTTTTACAGTTTATTACCTGTTTACAGAGCTGTAATTGTAATATGTCAACTTTGACGAAGTTCCATTCTCAACACAGGCCAACTTCACATTCCTGAGTACAGGGATTTGCTTAGCTTTTGAGAATATTTTTGGCTAAAATACATGATATCTTAATATTGGAAGTAGTGCGTGACATACCACAAAGCATGTAGGACAACTATCGATTTGCTACTAATAGTTTTGGTAGTTTTGTTCTCAGCTGGTAGACTCTATGGCTTTCTCATTTTACTTTCAATCAAAACAGAGATATCTATGCTCTGGATTATTTAGAGTGGTTTAAGTAACTAAGGGCAAAGAGCTAGTTGGACAGACAAACATAATAGTAAATTAATTACCAACATGAAGGCTTGTTCACTACCTAGGAAATGTCAAAAACACATAAATGCAGTTCAAACCATTCCATCCTTAAATAATAACCTACAGAAAACCTAGGTGATAAATTTTCATACTTTTTCATTGCATTGATCATCTTCAGCTCCTTTCTCCTTTCCAGTCATAAAAGCCCTCTTTAAAGCAACGAAACAACTTTAACACACTATTTTGCATTCCTACTGTAAAACACAGTATTCTACTGAATGATTAACTTGTGAAACAGCAGTAACTCAGTAACTCACACCATTTTAGTAATGCATGACTCAGTCCACTGAGCTATGTGACAAAAATCAAACCAAACAGCAATTCTCCTCCAAAGACCATCTTTAGGGAGGTGATTAAATTGTGTGTTTTCTCCCCCATGAGCCTTATGGAGTTAACCGTAAAAGGTGTGTAAAATGTGATACGCTTTGGACAATCTTAAGGGTGCAACTTTAATAATTTTAATTGTATTTTGTGCTGTGCGCTGTTACATATCCACATCAGTGACTGTTAGATAATTTGGCTGTTACCTGCAATCTCCATTTTCTGTTTGTTTTTTCCTAGAGGTAAAATGACAAACACAGTAAGCTCCTGCTGTATACCAACATAAACCAGCTGCTGAAAAGGAAAGAAACAGCTGTAAAAAGCTCACACCATAGGTTTCCCCTCCTCTCAGCTTTGAGGCTGTAAAATAAAACAAAACACCCCACGACCTCCTCTGTGTCAAGAGCAGTGTTTGTAGGAGACACCGATCTGTTCACGGGATCCTTTTCACGTGAGTTCTTCATGCAAGACAGGGTTTAAAGCAACCACAATGACTGGACTTCTATACGTGCTTTACACCTTGGAGGTTTGAAATTTTTCAGTAAATGTTGCAGGCTAACAGTGAATTTCACTTAGCAGAATTCTGACTCCTGTCACCCCCCAGTCAGCTGTTTTCTTGCAAACCTTTGTGTCCATTTTGAAAACATATATTTTTAACCCAATCAGGATCTCCACTACTCTGATATCCTTGTACAGTTCAGGTTGTTTCTGCTGTGCCACAGGAACGGTTACTTCTCCCACACAATCTGCAGAGCTTTTACAAAACTATAAGTCTTTGCAAGACAAGACACTGCTAAGGAGTCAAAAGATGCAAAAGAAAAGAAAAAGAGACAGAACTAAGTTAAAAGCAGCTTTTATTAAAATACTCTTCAAGCTTCAGAAAGCATAAATTAACGAATGTGTAGCTACTATAATACATTATTTTACAGGAGAATCACAGGGCCATGAAGCTTTTATGAACACAAGAAATCCTAAGAGCTTCACTCTGAAATAAATAAATACCGCCGTCTTATCTTACTCTTCTTAGAGGTTATATATTGAAGCCTTTACATGTACACAGCAAGATCCTGCTCCTTTTTTTTTTTTTTTTCTCCTCTCTCTCTCTACTTTTTTTCCACAATATGAACAAGTTACTTTTTTAAGCAGCAGGCTCCTTATACTCCTTACTGCAGTAAGATATTCAATACTGGCAAATTTCTTCTTGCTCAAAAGCAATCCGTCTTTGCGCTCTACTTCATAAAACATTTACAACCACTCTAAAACTGGCCTGCTGAAAAGCTAGTGAACTGGAACAGCATTATCCTGTAGAGCACGGTAGTTTGCAATAAGTGTATAGAGTCCCTCCTCTTCTACTCCACCCCCAAACCTCAACACTGCCATTTCTTGATCTTTTGTTGTTTTCTGCTTTCTAACGACCTACAGTAACTCAAACTCAGCAATGCAAATGACTCCTTTAAGGCAAAAACCAACAACTGCAACAGCCATCTTCTCCCCACTCTGGAAGATTCAGTCACCTGAGTCATTTTGGGCTAAACGTATTTTTTTGTCAGCTAGTGATTAGCACAAAAACATTTTCATTTCTTTTTTTACACATCAGTAGGAAAGTGTTAGAAAAGTATAGAAAAAGCTAGAATTTCCCTTGTAGTAAGGCTAGTGAAATAAGTTTTCTTTTTTCTTTTTCTTTTTTTTTGCAAAGCAGTTGGAAAAGAAGAAAGGAAGCCAGTGTTTGTAACTTTGCTTTTGCAACGTGGGCAAAATCACTGGACATTAAGAACACGTGCTGAGACTTCATGGTGCCAGTCACGTAATTTTGTGTATTTGGGGCTAAAGACGTGGCTGGGAATCTTTTCCCTGTGGAAAGAAGTAATAGAAGAGAAATAAGAAAGAGAGAAAGTTGGTCTTGGAGCAGTTTCACAAGCGCACCAAAGCATGCAAAGGCCATGCACTAAACATGTCCCAGCATCATCTTCCCGCCTTTCAAGAGAACTGATCTGGCCCGAAAAATCAGTAGAAAGATGCCCAAGGACTGCAAACACCAGTCAATTTAGCTGCTAGCCAGTCCCCGCTTTGAACACCACACCTAATCCAAAGCAGCCAGACAGCTGACACTTGTTCTCCATCTATAACGGCAACACTTTCCAGTTGTATCTTGAAATCTGACCCATGCTTGCAAATCAAAAAATGCCTGGTTAGATGTCGGAAAAGAAAACACACTGACAAGCTGACCTCATAGGGAAAACCAAACCAGCCCGAGTTTATGGAAAAAGCTCAAACTCCTGCGCAAACATTAACACCGGACTGCACAAACAGAGGTTTGAAAAGGCTGCTCTATGAAGAAAAATATCTCAATTTTTACATGCTGAAATGAGGCAGAAGACAAGCGACGCTTGAATAACACCCAGACTTTCAACAAGGGCAGCAAACAGTAACATATTATCAGTTAAGAATTAAGACATGCACTATATTAAGGTTAAAAAACAAAAAAAAGAAAACGTGAACTCACTTAGTCTTCTTTGCAGACTCAGGTTCTGGTTCTTTCACTACAAGAAAACAGAAAATTTTGATTTTCTAAGGAACTAAGTAGTAGCACTAAACGCTGCCATCCCTCTGTCGCACTGAAGCATTCCCCACACTAGGAAATTACAACACGGATCACTGGGAAGGGCATGAGAAGGAGTGTCAAGAAGATGACAAGTGGTAGCTGAGAGATATGTCTTTTGGAGGAACACCCAGGAGGTTTATATCAGATGATAATCGCAGCATCTGTGTACAGCCATCATCATGACCCCATCACAGTGCTGCAGAACTCACATGGGACAAAACTGGGACTGGGAATTCATGGAATTTATATTTAGTCTCACAAGTATGGCTGCAATCATATTCCTATAATTTTTTGTCAACATGATTAATTCATACTTTAAGGGAACACTGACACACTTGATGCTCAGGTCTCTTATTTTCTTCTTGAAAGGATTAGTGAAGAAAAAGAGTCCCAAGAGAGCCTAAACACTCATTAAACAGGCTAGTGCAAGACAAGTCCATGAACTGCCTGATTTCAGATTTATCACACCTAGAGAATAGTCATTATGCAGGGAGAGTAGCACTGGCCTCTGCAGTAACTCTACCAGTGCACTCAGAGTGGATTTAATCAGCCCTGCTCCCAGGACAGGTCCAGTTTTGTCATTGCTTTCTTTTAGTATTAGCTATGAAAAGCACAGGAATGAAATAATCGCCCATATATCAGCTACCTCAGTCTGAGCATGACAGAGGTCAAACGTCTTGACGGCATTTCTGATGGATTTATCCAGCCTTCAGACCTCTGCCAATAAATTTTAAGTGACAGCATGATATGAAATCAAAGCTTTTTCCCACACAACAACTGGGAAAGACTTTTTCTGCGTCACCTCTGCTCTTTAGCATACGGAGTCATATGACTCCACAAGCAGATGATGGAGACACTTCCTTGGAATACGCTGAGGAGCTAGAGGTATGTGTTGCTGACCAGTAAAATCATTGCACATAATAAACCTCTGTATGACCCTCAAGCATTTTCTACGTGCCTAGGGAAGCCTTACAGTTTTTCAAATTGCTTTCTGGAGTGCTAATTCAGAACAGGAGCATCCCCACTGCAGTGATGTGGAAGGAGAAAGCAGTAACAAATATGTACTTTCTGCCCAAGTCTTTGGGAACAGGAATGATGGTTTTGGGCTTACTGAGAATGTATTAATATCCAAATGGGAATAATGCAGCTGCAAGAGATTTACAAACACATTTTCCTATTTCATAGCCTCTTGAATAATCTTTCTTTTAAAGAGTACACCAAAACTGTGCGTACTGGATTTATGAGCAAGACAGGAAAATCTCAGAGGTGCGATTAAATCATTTTATTCTTTTCTCCCCTCCACAATTCAACAGCACCTATTGTCCATGACTGCTCTTTCGTTGGCATCAGGCTACTCACTATGATCGGTGCCGGTGATCTGGGCCAGGATGCGGAAGGAGCGCGACTGGGTGGTTCCTGTGCGGGGATGCCAGTCCTCAGTGTCCTCGATGAGCCGCTTCTTGCTGGCATCGCTGTGAGTAGGAGTGTGGTAAAACTCAGTGTAGGTATCCACGATGTGCTTCCGCGGCGGGCTGCAGCAAGGAAAACAGGGAGAAAGCAGTGAGGAAGGAGTCGCGCTGGGCAAGGCCATCAAGCGTGGGGCAGCTGCAAAGACACACATGGACTGGGGCTTCTCACAATATCTACAAGCAGCTCCTGCCACGCGGGGAACGCCACGGATTCAGCTCTCTGAACCAAGCGAGGATTCGGAACTGCTCTAATGCAACTAAAATGTTGCACCTTGCTTCACTACTGGAACTCCTCAACCGGGGCAGTCAATTATTAACACGACTAACAAATTTAAACTTTTACCGTTTGGGTGGGTTTTTCCTTGGAAGGGACAGAATAAGACAGCAAGAGGAGCAGTTTTCCCAGCATAACCAGGAAGAAGAGAGAAAAAGAAAACAAGAAAAAAAGTAAGAAACAAGATGTGGCTAAGCTATTCTATTCAATTAGTCTTGCAAAAAAGCACTGAAATCCAATTAATAGTGTTATTCTGCTGCCAATAAATTACCATTCTTGCATTTAACATGATCCTACAGGGAGCTCCATACAGGTATGAGAGGATATAATATAGATCGGTATAATATTTTTTGCTTGTTTTCATAAGACAGGGTGGTATATTTAGTTGTCGTTGTATTAAAAACCGTGGACAAACTTTGCCCCCTCAGTCACAAAAGACCAAGCCCTCGCTGTGTGCAACAACCAGCTACGTGGGATGTCTTTTGCAATTAATAAGGCTGGGATCTGAGCTGAGTATTTTGAAAATACAGGATGGTCTGAAGCACAGTATGGAGGTACCGCTCCATTCCCTCTCGAAAAGTCAAAGACATGGAGCCATTATTTTTCCCCACAATATCTCGTATGCAGTTACCAAGCCCTGAGCTAGCAGCTTACAAGAGCATAGCTTTTACTAATTGATGCAAAAATTATTTAAGAGCACTGATCTTTTTAGAAAGAGGTAACACAGAACTTATTCTATGCATCTTATTCCCCAATTCTACCTTAATTATCTCAAAGCATTAATCTTAAAGACTCTTTGTACATATATTTATTTTGACATGACTTACAGAAGATTAGCTTTGCTAAACTATCCCCAAAGACATAACAATTTTATATATATATATATATATATATATAAAAGAGAAGTCATTTCTACTTCTGTCATTGTTTCCCTGCTCTGTCTTCAACATGTAAGGTGTTTCTGGTAGAGAACGGTGGGACTTATGAATGAGACTGAATTACTGATTTGTCAATAAGGACAAATCAATGGGATGTATTAGAATAGTCAAGCAATAGCCTCTAAAAATGATGTGAAAAGTACCACGCAAAATGATAGTAGAGGACCGAATTTACTAGAACCGACACATGATATTAGTGAGTACTTACACCTCAAAGTTACTGGTGGAGGGAAGGGTACAGAAACAAAGACAGTGGCATTCCCAGGATGGAGGACAAGCAAGGAGCACAGACAAAAATGAAGTAAAGCAACAAAATGGTTAATGAAAAAGGAGAAATTATGAAAATTAAGGCAATAAAGTAATCGAGTTACAAGGAAATGTAATCATTTGCATGCAATTGATGCTATTTTAGATCCTTACAGATCCTACTGCATCCTTTCCTGAAGATTGCAATGACTCGTGGAGGCAACAAGGTGGTGCCAGAGGCAAAGGAAAATTAAAAGGACACAAGCGCTCCTGGAACTTGGTCCCCAGGCAAGAGGGCAAAAGCAGAAGCAATGAAACCACATCCATCCTCCACAATACATATAAATAATAATATATGGAATTTACACCTCTTGTGGTGCTCGGCTTCAATATCTGGTCTTTCAGCCCACGCTCAAAGCGATAATGTTTTTAAATTATGTTTCTCTTATCTGCCACTTTTCCTACTATAGCCATACGTGCAGCAAGAATTTATCAGTACGCACAAATATCACACAAACGTCTGTGGAATTAAAAAAAAAAAATCTGCAAAACTTAACGCAGTGAGAAGCCAGATCACATCATGTCCAGTGCAGACCAAAACCATTTACCACATTAAGAAGTTACTAAAAGAGCTGAAGCGGTTTTGCAAAATTTAAATTTAGAATTCTATGAAAGCTATAATTTTGCAAAACAGTAATACATGCTGGTTATTCTGACAAGAAAAACCACCATAATTCAACTGCAGTGGTGTTGATACTAACTTTGTCACTGTTGTTATCTGCAAAGGAAGAAAAAAAAAAAAGTATTTCATATGTTAATGCATTCTTTACTTCTTTAACTTTTTTAGGATTTCCCCAATCCAAGCTCTGCTAATGCCATACGTCATGTAGAGTCAAACTTAAAGTTACCAAAAAGCTATAAGTGAAAAATTTAACCAACAAACACCAATCTTAAACCAAGTGATGTCTGTGGACATCTACCTCTTGTGAGCAGCAGGCACAATTTTATGCAGGAGCTGTCAAGAAGGTCTTGAAAAAAGCAAAATTGCAGCTAGATTGCTTCCTTTTTTTTTTTCTTTTTTTTTTTTCTTTTTTTTTTCCTCCCTTTTAAAGCATTTTTAAGCCAGGATTGAGCAATGGAAACAGATCTTCCTCCCTTTTGCTTTTATTTTTGCCCTCCTCCCACACCGCCGAGTCCCCCGAGCCAAATTTTCAGAATGTGTATTTTACCCCATGTCTGCAAGCATGATGTCTGAGCTGTTATCCTGCAGAAAATAGAGACTCTACTCAATGGCAACAGATTTTGCACTGGTGTTTCTAACAGCTGCAGCAATTTCCAATCTGCTGAAACAAGGGGATGGATCAGGTTGTCATGTGCATTCCTGTCACCTGGCCACAGAGCTCATCTATGCAGCTCAACAAAGGCACAGCTTCACCTCAATCAGGCAAGTCCCCCAGAGGCTAATACACTTTCATCAATTAACAAAAGCTATCAAAGCTTTTTTTGCTGATAATTTTTTTTTAACCTAAATGCTAATTTTTACCTACTGCATGATAAGCAGACTTCTGCAAAGTCCAGGCAAGCGGCTCTGGTTTTTATCAGGAGCGAGCAACCAGAGACTGATTTAAGCACAAAAGAGCTTGTTCAAACTTACAAAAAACAACCCCAAGAAACAAAATCTTCTGATTCTCATAGCTGCAAATGAATATAACCCTTTTCCTTCTGCAAATTGCCTCCACAAGCCCTATCAGCATCGTAGCGCCCCATTCCCAGCTGCAGTGAATCCTGCTGACCTTCCTGACGAGCTGCTCCGCATTTCTGAGTGCCTGCTGCTTGCCAGGACCCAAAACACATAGCAGGACAGGGATGCCGACACGAACGCCGAGCTTGCTGCAAGGTCCAAAACAGATCGAGGCACAAAGGGTCCTGCAAGGAGCTCTTTGTGGCCTTGTGCAATTTAAGTCAATTTAACGCCTGCCAGATTTTGCCCTTAAGGAGCACCACAAGCCGTCTTGCTCAACACAAGGGTTCCCCCAGAGGGGCTCTGCAGAGGGGCCGCTCGCCCCGATGCGTTCGGCTCGGCGTGCAGCAAGCCCGGCGAGGAGCGCGGCGGCACGCGTCCCCCGCCGCGGCCACCTACCCGTTCTGCAGCTTACTGTCCCCCTGGGCGTCCCGGTGGTTTTGGAGCACGTGGCCGCCCCGAAGGGCCTCGGTGTCTTATTGAACGCCCCGGCGGCCGGGGACACGGCTTTGGGTGCGGCGGGAGAGGCTATGGGCTTAGCTACCTCCTTGGGTTCGTCCTAGGGGAAATAAATAAGACAAGAAACACACAAAAACACAGCAAACGCATGCAATGTTCCCGAGCAGGTATTTTTGCTGGTAGTAAAAACCCCGGTGTTTTCAAGTACAGAAATGGAGAGATAATATGGAAGAAGAGGCAAGCCATGCATTGCAGGAGAGGGAAGGAGCCGGACATGCAACTCCAAGAAGCTGGGGTCATCATGAGATGCTCTCATCATATCCAAGAGACACATGCCACAAAAGCCAATATAGGACAAACTCTACTGCAAGATCCACCAGATAGTTCCTGCGGAAAACATTAGTAGGGGTTTTTTAAAGCCATCTTCCATCTCTCAAACCCAATCATGCGTGTGCTTCCCATAGACAGGCACGCGCACGGTTTATAAGGTACATATATTTGCAACAAAAACAATGGGAAAATAAAAAAATACCGATTTAGTTTCTGAAATTATTTTGGAGTGGAAGTATGAGGAAGCAAACTTTTGTTTCATTTTCTGTCTTGGTGAGACAGTATTTACAGCAAGAGCAGATGAAAACAATTTTTTCCATTCATACCCTGCAGCTTTTCCCAGATCATTCAAGGGCTTTTGTTAAAGCTTTCCAGCAAGGTGATAGGCTTCAAGTAACACAGTGGGGAGTCAGCAGCTGTGAGCAGCAGAGACACCTCTCATCCCATGAATGTTCAAGTTGGTCGAGTTTCTCCCTAGTTTTGGTGATATGTGTTGAAAGGGAAAGTCCTCCAACCTCTTCTAACATTTGAGAACACTCATTCATATTAAAGCTGTTCAAAAAAATTGATTTTATATTTATCCCTGTCAGATCAAAACCCTCAAAAAAAAAATCTGATGTTTTTGCTGGGTGCTTTGCTTTAGCAGTGTTCCCAGATGGTAGCACTGACAGGTTTGGAAAGAGCTTATCTGGTAAAAAGCAGCACTAGATTTAAAAGATAATTGGAAAGCTGGAAGACAATATATTCGCTTGCACCTTTTCATGGACAATCATTTGACAGGTTCCTCAAATCTTTTGGAAGAAGTGTACTTTTGCTGCAAAATTTGAATGGCATGCTGTATTGAAAGGGAAGTTTGAACGACAGTTCTCATCAGTGACGGGGTTTGACAGATGGGTAGCAGTTAGTGCCACATGCTGCATTTCTTGGCTGTTAATAGTGAACATACCTTTTGTACATGAACGGGATCAGGTTTTGGTACAGTTGCCACTCTGGAAGGAAACATATACACATTATTTTAAAAACAAGTTCCTTAATGGTTAAGTATCTCTCTCTTCCAACTCGCCACATCTACCCATGGATATATGAATTATGTTTTTGTTTTCCTCCTCACGAGGAAGCAAAAATTATTTGGGTTGAACCTATGACACTGTGGTTAATACAAGATAAAAGCATGAATAAATATTAGGAGCCCTAACATCTAGCAGAAAGTACTATTTGATTTATACTGTAATGATATCATACCCTTGGTTAAGAGACATTAGCTCAAGTTTGCTTTTCTTCCCTTCATATGAAACTGCATCACGTAACTTAAAAGGCTGAGTTTTAACAGAACATAACCTTTAGTCAGGCTTAAAACAAAAAACTCAAGCACAGCATCACCAAATTCCTTCCCAAGGACTGTTATCACATTAAGCAATACGGAAACTTTCTGCATAATGTTGAGTCTTCAAAGGTAACTCAAACTCCACAGTAGACAGCAAAAAAATTCCTGCCGAACAAAGAGCGCATTGACACTACAGCGGGGTGGTGGGAAGCAGAGGAAATCACGCGTTAGGAAGCACAAAGGACGACCCACAAGTTTTGTTACACCAAAATCTTAACTGGCAGCATACCCTGGGTAAAAGGTTTTCTTTTACAAACTAATTAAATCTGGGGTTGCAAGGGATGAGATTGCGCTACGTTCATCTATGCAGAATGGCATTTTTGTGCACAGCGCTCTTTCCAAGTGATCTGCAGACATATTTGCCCTTCAAAACCCATGTTTTAAAATATCATACAAAGGAAAGCTTGTGATAAAAGAAGATTGGGAACATTTCACTTAGCATTTGGAGTCAGACAGCATGCCATTACTTTATTTCTCCCAAACATACTTGAAGCGAGGACATAAATTTGCGTGTCCCAGACATAGTTGAAACAATTTTCCTTGGCCTTGTTGACTTGAGACCATAATCAGACTACAATCTGTGATTTATCCAGGACCGCACAGAGAAAATGCTCACCCAGCAAAGTGAGCCACCAAGATCTGAATGTGAAAAATGTGCGGTGGTTAGACAAGACAGTGCAAAAGGAAATGCAAAGTTCAAGCTCAAATGCAAAATGCATCTCTCGCACTTGCTTAGGAAAATGCTTCCTTCAGAGATTACAGGCTCTTTAATAAAATGAGCACTATTGCTCTAAGGTTTGTGATGGATATCAGTAATACAGCAAGGAAGAAAAGCAATTTAACCACAGACCCCTTTTTGCCCATTTTTAAGGGGGAAGCAGATGGCACCCCACCTAGTCTAACCTGAAACAGGATTACATGATGTTTTGGTTAACTCACTCCTTACTATTCATTAAAAGAGATGGATGGCTTGGAAGAGAAAGGCATTTTCTGAATGACTTAAAACCAGCAGCTGACAAGATTAGTTTATATAATATTCCAAGTAGCGTACACACAGAAGACATTAGGAAGACAAAAGCTTGGCCTAAGTGCTTATTATAAACAGCACACACTGGAAATGCTGGCAAATTACAGCTGTTTGAGCTCCAGGCTCCAGTCGCAAGTGTCTTGGGAGTTATTAGACCAAATGCAAATACCAGCAGCATCCACCGCTTAATGACAGCCCTGGTACCGAAAATGAAAGTGCAGGTCGTGCATTTTTCACACATGCTCCTCCAGTATCCCTTGTGTCTCCTTTCAAATAAAAAAAAGCTATATTTAGGCTGTATAAACCGTTCATTCAGACCAGACGAACACAAGAGGATCTGCTCTGTAAACATCCTACAAGCTGGTCCTTCCCGACAAATATTTTGGGGCACTTACTTAGTGCAGGCCAAAACATTCCAGCTTCCTGTGCAGCCTTATTAGGAGAACAGATTGGTCTGCACCCTACTGCAAGCAACCCACCAAGCAAAAACTATTCATTCTTCAAATTCTCGCTTTAGTCATTTCCTATCCAAGTATCACCCATAAAAAACAGGCCAACCAATACAATAGGATCTTTCTGCAATTTCCCAGAAAAAAAATCCATAATAAAACTAAAGTTACAGTATTTCATGCTACCATAGAGGATGCAATTTGGAATGCCATCTCCAAAGACAGACCACCAGCACAAATGCTGTGATCTCGAAGGTCAGTGTTATGGAACCAAACTCGATATAAAGCAGGAGGCTTTGGAGGAGTCTCAGCTGACATACCCAAAAGCTTCACCAAATCCAGACTCCCAAAGACATTTCTAAGGAAGCTCCGTCATGCAAGTCCTTCTGTCACTTACTAAGGAAACTATATTTGGGTTACAACTTCGAAAGCAGATGCAAAACTCAAAGGAGGGCACAGCATTTATCAGCCCATCTGTACATAAGAGGAATACACAACACCAATATTAAACATAAGTATTTGGGTTTTTCCTGTCTCAGGATCTTAAAGGGTTGTTCGTAAAGTTAACCTGAGATACAACAGCAACAAACTGCACAAATCTTCACTCCTAAGAAAAAATGTGGGCTGAGTCCAGGCTCAACAGAGCCTGCAAGACTTCCCCCCCTTCTAAAAGGAGGAAAAGCAGAAGAATCCCACCAGCACATTTTCAAAACTAAATTCCTTTTTTCCTAGTTGATCAATCAGGATATAGTTTTTGACAGTAGATATCATATCCCTGAGAAGCTACTGGTCTGATCATCTTTCTGAAAATCTGATCCTTTAATGGCTTTGCCATTTCAGTCTACAGCGCTGGATTTTTTTGCGTCACTTTATTTCTAGACAGCACTCAGCTGGTAGAAAGCTAAATGCATTTGGTTTCTGAAAATCAGCCAACTCTCATGAAAAAAAACGACAGGCATAAAATGTTTAATGTATATAACAAGCTAGGACTTTTACTAGGGGTTATCTGAATGAAAACAAATGCAGATATAATTTAAAGCAAAGAAAAAAGAGCTATCCAGATATTTCTTTTCCTAGACCAAAACCCTTTAGCTATTACAGACATAACTCATTTCTTACCAACCTTGTTCTGGATTGCATTCTTTATAGCTTGTTTTTTCTTATGTCTACATTAGCAGGAACGGTTGGCCTTACAAACCCTAATAACTCGAGCAGCCCACCAGGCAGTAACACGACATACAACTATGGTTTGTACAACTAACTTTGGATACCGATTTGGTTTTCCAAAGCCCAAATGCATTTTAGATACTAGATAGCTCAAGGAGCCTCCTTGCTAACCTCCCTTTTTATATAAACCAATCCTTGCGCTCCAAATGCGTTCGTGCCCCTCCTGCCCTACAAAACCAGTATTCTCAGCATTAAGAAAAAAATATATATTCAAAAGTGTTTCTGGGAATTCTCAACTTATATCCGAAAAATAGTCAGATGGGCAATTTTTAAACAGCTTTAAAGCCCACTCTGAAAGACAGGATATTCAGACTTTTGGTCTTCGCATCCCTTGCTGAGATGTATTTAATGGACTATGCTGAAAATACTGGTGTCTTCTTTTCTTAACAGAAGAATACGTGCTCAGTATATACACCACCCCTAGTAGTATATATACCTCTGGTGGTGTGTATATATATAGTTGTATTTAGCCTAGGAATATTATCTTCTGAATCACTCTCAATTGAGTTTAAATTTTCAGTCAGTTTAAAAGGAGGATTGAATATCATGTAACATAACATAAACCCAATGTGAAATACTGACATGTAATGCCTTTAAGTCCTTACACCACGCACTCCCAAAGGACACCAGACTACAGTCAGGTAGAAGCAAGAAAAATTATATTCTTTCTTTATTACTCCTTCAATATTGAGTCAAATCGATCCGAGATCCTCCTCTTAAATTTTAACATGGTCGGGGATTTCGTGATTAAGTGTTAGAATAAACCACACTGACATTTTCAGGGAGGACGAGGCTCCCACCCACAGAGGAGCGCTTCTTGTGGGACCTCCCCAGGGCAAGCACCGCTCATAGTCTCATTCCTGCGGTCTGCGGCAGCCCCTAGGAACACATTTGTAAAGAGAGTTGAAGTGCAGGCGCACAATATTTTATTCTACTAGAACAAAACCAAACACAAACCAACCAAAAAGAAAAAAAAAGGCAAAGGAAATATACCTTCTCCCTGACAAAGACTTTTTAAAATACGTTTTTAACCCCTATTAAGGCAGAAGAGGTTTAGGCACGTAGAAACCCCATGGACATGACCCAGTGCTATCTCCTCCGGACTCAATCTTGAAGGTCTTTTCCAACCATAATGATTGTATGACTCTACTTCACCCAACTGGGTGATGTGAGCACTAGGACCTGAAGCCAACCAAAGACAAAAACCGCCCTGCCAGGCAGCAATATCTAAACAACACTTAAATGCAAACAAGATGGCACAAAAAATGACTTCAGCATCTGTACCCTGGCTCATAACGAATTGGAGGTTATATACTTAATGTCTTTGGAAGTGTTTATTAGATACTAATTCTAACACAGCAAGCTACCTTTTAAAAATAGCGAGCTTAATAAAAAACATAGGTCTAAATGACTCGCAGACCTAGTCATTCCTTCAAAACCCTCAAAAAAAAAACGCTGGACTAAGTGCTGACTTAAGTCTGTCATCAAATCTAGGTTATAATTTAGAAGATTTAACATATTAAATTATTTTTTCCAGAGCTTTCCACCATATGGTGACTTGTGTTTACGTTACCTCCTTTGTCTAAAACACAGCTCAAAAGAGCTCAAAGTGCAGCCACATGTACTCTAACAGGAAATCATCACGACAACCCATCTCCTCAAGGCTCAACATACCCTTATTTGGAAGGGTATTTCATAACCGCATACTTTGGAAAGATCATTTATACCAAGTTCCTGCTCTTACATGAAGAAACTGGCAATTTAGACAGGCATTAGATAATGGTATTTTAGTAAAAACATCTCCTCTGCTCTGTGAAGCAGCTCATCCATTCACAGCTTTAGAGGAGCTATGAAAGAAATACCTTTGAAGAGTAGTTAACCAAAGGAGATAAAAATCTCAAT